CTTTTTGGGTTCTCCTTGCCGCCGGATGTCGTCACAGACGAGCGCGTCCTCCTACGCTCTCTGGGCAGTGCAGACATGCAGGTTAGCTGGAATGTCCTATTTTATGACTCAAACAGCAACCCCATTGCCTCCTTAACGGACCGTGTCGTAGATGCGCTGGACCAACACGGGGTCCAGGTCAGGTGCGGCAGGCGTCATTCGCCTCCGATCTTCTTGACTCTGTCTTGACACCGGGCACAGGTGGGTGAGGGAAGATAGAGTGCGGTAGGTGCTGCGCAAGTCTACTGTCATCTAAAACTAACTCGCGCGCAAGTCACCGTCCCTGCATCACCCTGTTTGGAGCATACGGTGGAAATCGTCGAAGTATATGGTCGAATTGTCGTTTTAATTATGGAGACTTCACCATTTTTGATTCAGCCGGCTTCGAGTTGCAAGTTCATCTTATCACGAATGATCACCTTCCATTGCTGTCAGTCAGCAGCGAGATTGGGCCAGTCAGCAGGTTACTGCCAAAGACCAGATGTGTTCAGAGTCAATTTTCATCACGCACATCTTCAGTTGGCTACCTCGACGTCGCCAGTCAGGGCGGGGCTCAGATAAGTTCACGTCCAGAACGGCGTGGCCCAATGGCCAAGCGCCAGGGGGCGTGTCTCAAATCGACGTTGGCCGATTACCGCGACCATTGTTTGAGCTTCAGAGCGATCTCATCATATCCCAGGCGTTTTTGGTGGTCTTTGGTGACTTTATTCTTGTTTTGCCCTTTTGCGGGACCGCTGTATCAAAGGTAGCAGGGCTTCAACGTTCTTCATATATGAACAGACGATCAACTCCACAAATTACATGGGGGGACCCGTTGGTAAGCCGAACCTCGAGTAGCTGCGTTTTGCGGCCGCGCAAAATGCGTGTCTGGGCTTTTATGCAGCACCCTTGCTGTATACTAATGACTACCCGTTGGCAACTTGTGGATATTAAACCGTCATTGCGCAATAGCTGATGGGTCTTAGCTGATACAGTATGGTGAGTGCTGTAAAAAACATTCTGCAATTTGAAAAAAAGACTGGTAATCACTCGCAAACCAACATTGAATAGGGTTGCAAGATTGTTTATCATGCAGTCCAATTTCACTTCTTTTCAGTCACGCTAGGGTGCATGCACGAAAAAATCTTCTCTTGTACTTATTTGATAGGAAATTACGTCTCCTTTAAATTTTATTCTTAAGGTAAGGGTTTCCTTCGGTTTTAAAAAAGTTTCTAAATTGCCGAACGATTTTGAAACCTACCGACTGCTAGAACTGAATTCAAGTTTTGTAAACTGAATGTTGTGTTCATCCTGTTTAAGGAAAAGTACGTTCTTGCCTACGGTTTGAGGAAGTGGTTGCATAGTTCTGATAGACTTTCGCATTAGGCATGGATCATGCCGTATATACCAGGGGCAGCATTAATAAATTGACGGATACGATGTATTATGATTGAACGCCGCACAGTCGTAAAAAATCTCAAAATTAGAAACTTTTTTAAAACCGAAGGAGACCCTTGCTTTAAGAATAAAATTTAAAGAAGGTTTAATTTGCTATCAAATAAGTACAAGAGAGGATTTTTCGTGCATGCTTTCCATAAAATATATTTGATTTTATAAAGGCAGACAAATTCAATGACAAAAATGCATACTATATAAGTAGCCATTTTTTACAGAATCAACTTTTTCGCAGGGGTAAGAAAGAAGCTCATCACAGAGTCGGCATCCTAGCGTGACTGAAAAGAGTTGAAATTGGACTGCATGATAAACAATCTTGCAACCCTACTCAATGTTGGTTTGCGAGTGATTACCGGTCTTTTTCAAATTGCGGAATGCTTCTTGCAGCACTCGCCATACTGTACATTTAGATAAACTTTAAGCCATAGGCTGAAAAGCCTTGCTCTGAAGCATTTACTGCGAGTTCTCACACTAATTTCCAAGAAAATTAACAATGGCAGCCTTTGTTTGGGAGGAATTAGCCCAATTAAGATACCTTTGCCCTTATCTGTGGAGCTGTATTTGCGCAAGGGAGCTCTCCACCGCTGCAGCATCCTTATAATTGACCAGATCCGTAATACACGTGTGCTAACCCGCCGTAACTGCCGGTTGCCAATGCGTTCTGATAAACTCTATTTTTCAGATAATCAACAGTTAGTGACCCTAATAGCAAAACCAGCTCGTTTTGCCCGCCTTTTCGAGCTCGGAAAAACGAACTCCAAGCGAGCTCGCGTTATCGCGCTTTTAGCGAACACAGTCCACCTTGATGATGGAAGCATAATCGAAGAAATCACTCCTCGCTATTCATTTGGACTCTGTCTTTTTTATTGGGACGTAGGCTCAGAGTAGCTTTGGTGATAGAGCATCATGCAGCATTATCATAGGCCGTGGGACACCCCGAAAGTCAAAATTGGAAGAAAATCTATGAGACAAGTGAGAATAGGTTACAGATAACAATAGTGGGAAACCTTGTGGGTTGCTTCTGCGTGCTTATGGTCCGCAATTAGAAGTCTCCGTGCATGCGTTCAATTGATTTACAGTAGTTACCAAATAACAATAAGCCATGATGCTTTTCTCAGCAAGAGATGACTGGCATATTTTCGGGTTCAGTGGCCAGATGGATATTGAAAAATTGCCTTGGTCCATATGTTTTTTTCCAAAACCAACACAACCTACAGATTAATTCCAGTCTTTGCACGATCCGAGGTTCTCGCTGACGCATCATGATACCTACATCCACCCACCACGCTCGTCCAATAATCCTCCAATCTGCTTGACATTGTCTTCGAAAACTTTCTGGACAACACATTCCTACCTGCCTCAGAGCTGTCACGAAGAGCCGCTTTTCTGCCTTTGAG